CCTGTATACTGGAAATGTGAGTAAGAGATAACGTTTATTTTTTTTATTTATTACAGCTGACAAGACATCTAGGTGCAGGCCCCCCGATGGCAGCATGCCCCGACGCGCGTGGACTGCGAGGGCCCGTTCATGACTGCTTGCAGCTTTAATTATTAGGGCCCGAGCGACGACAAAGTCGTCCGAGGACCCTATTGAAATCGTGCTGTTTATTATTATTATTCTTGCGACATTTCGTGTCCCAATTTCGGCCCTTTCCCAAATTTGAAAATGCTTCTTACTCTCCACATTCGACCGGCCACATCCGAAATTCGATATTTTTGGGCGGTTGCACATGGTCGGCGCGAAATGCCGAAATAGCGCCCCCTACAAATTTTCAAAATACCCTCCCCATTGGGGTTAGTTTGTCGTAGGCAAACGAAATTTGGTACACACATGTATCATACCGAGACGCACAAAAAAGTTTCTTAACGTCATGGTGAAATCCCAACAGGAAGTCGGCCATTTTGTTTTGAATTTTTTCGTTACGGCGATTTCCACAACTTATATTTGAATTAACTCCTCCTAGGGATGTCGTTCTATCGACTTCAAAGTTGGTACAGATCATCCTGAGAACATGCTGATCAAAAGTTATTAAAAGCTTTTCTCTATGTCAAGGGACGTGGCCGCTAGGACGTGACAAATTTTGGCGACTTTTCATTTTCTTGCCATCGAATTTCGAACGGCTCTCCTGCCCACATACTTGATCTCAGCAGCTTCAAACTTGCTGGACATGATGATGGCTCCGCCCCGAACGCCCCGATATGTTAATATCCCATCTTACTCATAGCGCCCTCCGGTGGTAACAGGAAGTGACCAGTTTTTTTTTTAACATGTACTAATGCCACAAACTTGAGCGTATCAACTTCATTCCACTTCTAATGCATGCAGAACAAGTTGGTGAAGCTACCTTATGAACGCTGTGAAGCTGCGTCTAATGGTGTCCATGTGGCGGCGTGGTGACTATCGATCCCTCGCCACTAAATACGTTTGGCATTTTGATGGCTTCAACGACCTCATCTCGTCATGAAAACGGATACACAGGTCAAGAATGGCAAGCTCTTGCATCTGATAGGGGCGTCGCCCATGGGGGGGACAAAATGCCTCTATAACGCCCCCTTGAAATTTTCAAAAACTCCTCCCCTTAAGGGTTTTTTTAGAGTTGGAACATGAAAATTGGTACACATATGTATATTGTCCAGACGCACATAAAAGTCTCTGGCACCAATGGTCTACTCCAAACAGGAAGTTGGCCATTTTGATTTTGACTTGTCATTTTGACATGATTTCCACATGTTATATTTTAACGAACTAGTCCTAGGGATTTCATCCAATCGACTTCAAATTTTTTACAGATCATCCAGACACCGTTCTGATCAAAAGTTGTGCTCTGCATGTCTGTAGGTCAAAGGGCGTGGCTGCTATGGTGCTGCCATTTTTGATCCATCGCCATGCATATTCAAGCAGCTCTCTCTCCCACATAATTCATCCAAACTGCTTCAAAATTTCTGTACATGATAAGAGCCCCGCCCTCAACGCCTCCATATGCTCGAAGGCAATCTTGCTCATGGCGCCCCCTTGTGGAAACAGGAAATACCCTATTATACATTGACATTGTCCGATTTGCTCGAAACTTCACGTGTGATGATGGTCCACCCCTGAACGCACCTGCCCACATCTGGTTACGTTCGTAGCGCCACCTAGTGGATGAACGAAACAATGCGTTTTTTTCTCTCCTGCCAGGTTTTTTTTCCCCTTCTCGCTCCGCGCCACAGCCCCCGCATGCCTCAGGCCCCCACGGCTGCATGGGGGAGCGAGGGCCCGATCACAGCTGCTTGCAGCTTTAATTATTATTATTATTGTGCGCATATAATCCCCAATTTGGCCCCTTTCCCAAATTCAAAAACTCACCAAATATGGCACACGCGTTAGGTCTGGCGAAAAATTTTATAATCTATTGCCATCCTGAATTTCCACCACTAGATGGCGCTTTAATCAAGGACAGTGCGTTTTGGGTCATAACTCCCATATATTTTGTCGCACATTCAAAAACCTTATATCCACGCGTTCAGTGAATTGTGCTGAATCTTGTGATATAGGCCACGCCCATTTCCGCCTACCGCAAAATTCGCAAACCTACTTTTTCGAACTCCTCCCAGGCAATTTCACCGATTGGCATGAAACTTTGCACACAGCATCTGTGGACCCTCCTGACAAAAAGTTATTAAAAGAATTTTGATATTCCAAACAATACTCAACTTATTAAATAACAACTTCCTGCAGATTTCGTTGCAAACAGGAAGTGCTGCATATCTCCACATTGGTGTATCCGAATGACATGACATGAACTACTTTCCCATGAGTCCCTGAGGCTCTGTGCAAAATGTCAGGCGATGACCACCAGGTGGCGCTCTTTAAAATGAAGTATTTTATATCTCAACATCGGTTGGGTGGATTAACACGAAACTTGGAATGATTATTGTCAATGCCCTCCTGAGGATATCTGATGAAGGACTAACCGATCCGACACTAGGTGGCGCTCTGGTGGCTGTCTAATTTAATATTTGGCACTGTGCCAACACCATAACAGTCATGGAAATAAAATTGATAGGTATAGTGGTATAGACTGGCCCCTGTAACTCACACACCAAAAATGACCAGCAGGTGGCGCTATTTTCAATGCAAATGCGGTTTTGGCTAATAACTCTCACATAATATGTCGCACATTGTTAAACCTTCTATTTACGTGTTCTCTGAATTCAGCTGAATTGTGTGGTGTAAGCCACGCCCACTTTTGCGGTAACTTTCCATTCGCTAAATCGCGCCAAATGAAAAACGTACTTTTTCAAACTCCTTCTAAGTGATTTGACTGATTTGCGCCAAACTTTGCACGAAGCATCTGTGGACCCTTCTGACAAAAAGTTATCAAAAGAATTTTGATCGTCCAAAAAATTGGACTTTTGCTGATTGTGTTCCAAGGCCCAATGAGACTTTGTACAAAATTTGGTGCAAATCGGCCAATAGGTGGCGCTCTGGTGGCAGTCTAATTAGTGTGAATGGAAGTAAATTGGAAAATCTTCAAATCCTCTTCAAAACTCATCGACTTTCAACCTCTTCTTGTCTCTCATACTTTGAGCTAGAGACACCATGTCAACTTTTAAAGAGTCAGAAGACCTTGAATGCATTAACTGTACCTAATTATCGATCTTTATCTTTATTTCAGCCATGACCAATATTCTTTTGTTTATGAACACTGGTAGATAACTATCTTGCCACGAGGTGGTCTTTGGTTGCTCATGACGCTACCGTCATAAAAACAAGAGACCGCACATGCGCAGTTGCGCACTCTCAGCTGATTGTAAACAGATAAGATGGCGACAAGACGCAACTTCAGTGTTCATTTAAAGCTAGACGTTTTGAAATATTCCGAACAAATGTCGGGGAATACACCGTGGGGCATATGATGGCTGGTATGCAGAGGACGGCAACAAGACCTTCACAAAAGGAGGGAACATGAGAGCAGCTGACAAACGCAAGATAACGGCTTACCGTCTCCAGGTCCAGTAATTTCCTCTTTGGTTGGTGTCATGACTGGCCAGTACCTGGACAACCCAGCCATGGTGGCACGCAGGTATGTGGCGTGTCAGAGGAGAAACGAGCCGTTAACATTTCTCTTTGTGTTAGGTAACGTTAACGGCGTTAGGCTGACCAAACGTCCTCTTTTGCCCAGACATGTCCACTTTTCACGTCCCGTCCGGGGTGTCCAGATTTTTTTTTTTTTTATAAACTGATAATGTCCAGTTTTCCGTGTGTTCGTGTGTGTGTGTGTGTGTGTGTTAGAGTGCGGCACAGCCACATATTTCTGTTCGAAGCGGAACTGAGCCCGACATTATTTATAACCAAAGTGCTGAGTTTGTGCCACATAGTTGTAGTTGTTACGGTTACAGGCTCTTTAACCCTATGGGTCCGAATGACACATAGTCCGTCCAAATTCACACCTGTTCTTTGTGGATTTTCTCCACGATCGTGCATCATAGCGAGAAGCCACGCATATCACGTGAAACAGTGATATCATAGATTTCCGACAAGACCAAGCACTTGTCGGTAGTCCAATGTTTTCCCAGCGAAAAAAAATGATAAAATTACACTAAAATTATGTATAACAGAGCTTTCATACAGCTCTGCACACACATTACTGTTGGATGGATTATTCGCGAATGCAGCATCACACAGAAATACCACACATATCACATGAAAGTGCAGGAGCAGAGCTTTCCAATGATACCACACATCATTGTGCTGTCATCCCATCATGCTATAAATACAGATTAATTGTCTACAAAATAAAAACCTGACAAATTTCTTTACAACCCATTATACAGATCTTGTTATCAGTCACTTCATATAGTGAGGAATATCGTATCTTACCACGTATTAGGCTTGCGTGTGTTTCTCCCTGTCTATCCACACTTGTAGTCCAGCTTTCAACATGCAAATATCTCCATATTGTCCAGTTGACACTCCATCAAACTTTGTATGACAAGACCAGCCGCCCTCGCCACCAAATCAGTTGGCTTTTTGATGGTTTCAGCGACATCATATCCTCACGAAATTGATACACAGGTCAAGAATGGTGAGCTCTTACATCTGATAGGGCCGTTGCCCATGGTGGGGACAAAATGCCTTTATAGTCCCCCTTGAAATTTTCAAAAAACCCTCCCCATAGGGATTTTCTTGGAGTAGGAAGATGAAACGTCACACCACGTCAGAGTTAAGTTACTCTGAGTTTTCACATAACCGCTTCAGTGATGCGTGCTGCTGGCCCCCCACGATAGCGCGGGAGAGCGAGGGCCCGGTCACAGCTGCTTGCAGTTTTAATTTAGTATTGTTTCTCTTTAATTGTATTTGCTGAACCTGTTGGTCTAACTCTGTCTTCCATTTTCTCCCTCTTTTTATCTTCACAGCCTTCCACAAACACCTTATCCCAGTCACCGTCACTCCACAGGCTCACCACGGTCAGCACAGAGGCCAAGCCAACCCCTACTGCAGCCCTGAGCTCAGACAGCACATTGCAGGGCAGCAGGGCGCCTGAAGAGCCCAGCTCCCAGCTGGATGAGCTGAGGAACCAGATGAAAGAGCTGCTGCTGTCTGTGGAGCTGCTCAAGGCCCAGCAAATGTAATAACACTCAGTGTGGATTAAAACAGGGTGTCAGTATACTAGCATAAAAAGCAGTAAAAAATGTGCTGATGCATTTTCATCTTAGTGTGTCTTTCAAAAAATACATCCTGTACATTTGTTTGACACATTACACAATAATCCAGTCAGTAATGTGGCTCACTGAACATTAACCATCAACCCAGTTCACTTATTTAGGATGCAGTGCTTCATGATGATACTTAATGCACTAACATTGGTTTTGTTTGTAGAACTTAAGCTCACCTTTGTTTGGGATTTTTTAATCTCCAAAGAACGTATAGTAGTTACTTCATGGGTTTGAACAATTTCAAAATGCTGCAGGAGTATACATGTGTTAATGAGTGTGTATGTGTGTGGGTTTCTCTCCAGGAAAGAAATAGCTGAGCTACGAGGAGAGCTGGATGACGAAAGGCTAAAGCGTGTGGCTCTGCAGGTAACATTGATCTCCACAGCAACACACGCTGGGCTGTCTACATTCATTACTCTCAATAGTTTAGCCAAATATTGATAAAGACCAGAACAAGCACACTGACTGGCACACAATTAACACACTGCATAACAGACAAGTACACACGCCTCTTCTAACCGCTGACCATGAGACCTCAGTGGTGAGGATGGTTGACAGGTGGCTGAAGACACAGTATCTTAGGGGATCTTAGGATCAGACCAAGCAGTCAGCAGAGAAGCAAAAGCCCAGCTTTTCTATTCACAGCTTCAGAGGACCATTTTTGGCTGTGTCTAGGGAGCTTACCTGATACATTTAATGGAAAAATACAGGAACTGTAGTCTTTATGTAGTCTCGCTCACCAGACCTTTCTCAAGAAAAGAAAGGTCTGGCTGCGACGACTCTCACTTTAAGATTGGAGAAAAAAACGTCCCTGCTTTTTTTATTTCTTTCAACCAATCACAATTGTTTTTGGCGGTGCCACAGCAACGGTGCGCTTGAAAACTGCTACACAACCGGAGGTGGTAGGGCAGGACTTCAGCGGGTAGCTCGTTCCGCCCATTGAGAGGCTGATTGAGAGGCTGATCTATGCAGCGAACTTCCGCCCACTCAGACTAGTCTTTGTGCGATTGTGATCATTGAATTCAGGATCAAGTTAATTTTATCATTGTCCTGTTCATCAACATTTAAACACCAGTGGTCCATGAATTTGCTTGAGACATGTTGTGATCTTTTAGAGCCCTCAGGCAGTGTTTTCTGTGAGCCTGTTCTTGCCTGTGGGCACTAGTGATGGCCTCATGAAGCCTCATGAAGCATTTTTTTTATTTTCTGAGCCCACTAGATGGCACTCTTAGTTGAAAGAGAGGCTCAAAGAATGGCAATTCACTGTGTTTTAAACCTTTTGTTGAACAAAAAAGTACCATCTAGTGGGCTCAGAAAATAAAAAAAAGTAAAGCTGCAAGCAGCGATGAACGGGCTCTCGCACCTTCACGCAACTCGGGGGGGCTGGCAGGACGCCTGCTGACACGGCAGTTAATTTTTCAAAGTTAAACACCGCATGCAAATCCTGTTATAACTTTTGGTCACAAGTTAGTCAGGCTCACATAAGCCAAGTTTGGAGCCAATCCAATTAAATCTTTAGAAGTTTGTTAAAACGCCAAAAATGACCACCACAGAATTCAAAATAGCAGAATTCCTGTTGAGTTTAGGCAATGGGTCCAAGAGACCTTTTTGTGCATCTGGGCATAATACAGGTATGTACCGATTTTCATGCATGTCGGTAAAATATGCGGTGGGGGCTGCACTTTAGAGCGTCGCCAAGCCTTTTTGCCACACCCATCGAGGAAACTCATATTACATGTCCAGGCCTAGACTCTTAAGAAGTGTGTCCAGTTTCAGGCAGATTGAACCAAGTACACTTAAGTTAATGCCATTTCCTGTGTTTTGGCGAAACATCCAACTTCACCATGTCATTATGGCCACCCCGTTTGGTGGCATTTCAACATCTTCACAATATAACATAACCAATTTCTTCAGGCCTTTATGACCACATTTGAGCTGGATATGGTCAACCTGCCAGGAGGAGCACATTAAAGTGTAAAACATGTAATGTCCTGTCGCCAATAGGCGGCGCTATGACTATCAGGAAATATGGTTATGTAAATGGCATCAGGTTGGGACTAATATGAATCATGTGAAATTTGGTGGAGATCGGACCATTTACGCCAAAGTTATAGCAATTTTGTTTTTCATGGCAAGACCTCAAAATTCAACGCTCTGCAGCAGGCGCACCATTCAACATTGGGCAGATCCTGTTATAACTTGTAGTCACAAGGTAGTCAGGCTCACATAAACCAAGTTTGGAGCCAATCAGATTAAATCTGTAGGACAAGTTCGTTAAATCACAACGTGCGACGCCAAAAAAAAAAGACTGCGGAATACAAAATGGCCAACTTCCTGTTGGGTTTAGGCAATGGGTCCAAGAGACTTTTTTGTGTATCTGGGCATGATACAGGTATGTACCAATTTTCGTGCATGTCGGTGAAACATGCCGCGGGGGCTGCTGTTTAGGGGGTGGCCAAGTCACTTTGTCCCGCCCATAAACAAAAGCAATATCACACCATAATTTACACGAGGACTGAAGCGGACACAAAAATGGGCAAGTTTTTGAGTATGTTAAAGCCCCCAAAAAGGCAATTTATTTGTCAGAAAAATAATCTTACTTTCTTACTAATAACGAAAACTCGCTATCTGTGGGTGTGTCTGTCTGTCTGTCTGTCTGTATGTCTGTCTGTGTGTCTATTCCACGTTTTTCTCCTCACTGACTTGGTCAAGCCATGTGAAATTTGGCACAGTGGTAGAGGGTCATGGGAGGATGTGAATGAAGCAATATTACATCAATTGGCCAAAGTACTACTGTACTTTCAATAAAGCAATCGTAATATCAAATTCACAAAAACGCTGTCTGAATACATTGCTCTTCTTAATGGGTTCAGTTGACTATTTAATCTGCAATTTCCTATGACCCGTATCCCAAACACACACCACGTGAAACTGTACGTGGGCAACTGTGCACTCAGTGGGTATGGACTAGTAATAATAATTCCTTCAATTTTAATAGGGTCCTGGCACTGAGGTCGGTGCTTGGGCCCTAATGACTCATGAGGCTTCATTCGGCCGTCACTAGTGGGCACTATGCGCAGGTTGAAATATACCATCTGGAAGCAAGTCTGATAACAGGCAACTGCTGTGTCCCCGGGCATGCATCTCTACACCAGCCCTGCAAACTGTTGGCAAGTTAGCCCTTTTACCACTGCAGGAACTTTTACCCAGAATTTTGAAAAACCTCTGTGCATTTCCACCGAAATTACCCGGGTAAAAAGCTTTCCCTCAACCCCAAATTTACCCTGGAAAAAGTACCTAGTATTGGGGTAGGACTTTTCAGATTACCCAGAGTTCTTGAGGGGCAGGGCTGTTTGCCGAAGAACACTGATCAGTGGAACACACACTTGCAGCGTTCCGCACTTCCTGGTAGGGGCAGCCGCTGCCCCTACCGTTACTGTAAGTGACATTAAACCTTAGCGAGTAAGAAGCCAATACTTTATCCATACATGTGTTCAGTAAGCATGAACATGTTAACGTGCAGACAGCGATATTCAATATGCTCCGTCCACAGTCTCTCATCCACCGACACTAACGTTATGTCTTATACAAGGACAGCTAGTTCAGCTGATAGCGAATTGTTACTAATAAGCTCAAATGACAGCTCTCTGTACGTAGACTAACTTAGTTTGACACTTATCTTAAAATACTCTAAAACTTAGCTGCTGGCTGAGACAAACAGCCCCAACTCTTTACCAGCACGTAACCAGACAGGAATGGCGGAGCCAAATACAGGGCACATGCTGAATCATCTAGGTCATCATGCTAATTTGAATAAATTATCCGGAACTTTGAGGTGCAGTGGAAACGCAAACCTCACAGATTACCAGGAATTCTTTTACCCAGGTAAATAAATTCCTGATAATAAAAGTTCATGGAAATGTTGGTGGAAAAGGGGCTGTTGTCTCCATCAGAACACACATGGCTGCACACAAATGCAGGGAAGTCATATATATATATATATATAAATCCCCAAATACATTTGTGAATCCTTTTTTGTGCATTTATTAATTCCCACTGCATTTATTCATTTTGAGACTGTTCCAACTCCATACACCCCTTGCTCATGCAGCAGGCTCTGAGGCTCCGATACAGACAGCCCTTTCCTGGATTGCAAAAATAGCAAAAATACATCAGTGACGAATGTCTTAATATTATAGCAAATTAGAAATGGAGTTGGTGAAAAAAAACTGTACAAGATAATGTTTATGTAACCTAAATAAACAAGAGATATATCTTCTGTCTCCAGTACCGATAGTAGAACCATTAATGTGGGAGCTCATCAGTACCACGGTCTTTAATATCTTGGCCCCAGGGCCCCTTAAATAATGAGTTTCAGTACATATCCCTACTTGGTGTGTTACCACCACCTATTCAACAGTGAAATAATTGAAAGCATGGTGAATTGGGTCACCCACATGCGCAAAACAAAATGGTGACCCACACAGACTCCACAGCACCAACAGAGGTAAAAAAAAAAAAAAAAATCTGCAGGGAGTTCAGTTTATACAGGCGTGACACCAAATTACTTTTCAAGCAGTGTCACTGTTGCAGACAAATTTCCAGTGTTGATTAAAATCAGGAGAGTTTTGCTAAGGTTGTGGCATGTTCCCTCAATCTTGATGGTTTGGTGTAAAATGGTCATAAAACTCAGAACTGTCTCAAGTCAGTCTTTATCTTGTCTAGACGTTCTGATAAAACCAAGCATATTTAATGTGATAAGTTTTTGGTCTTGGCTCATGCAAATAGTAAAGTTCGATGATGTGACCACTGTTAACCAACAGATGTGCTCTCTCTCGCACCACACAGGAAGCGGCAACATAGGTAGAAAGTGTACAACGGTGCCTCTCTGACATGTTGTCCCATTTGTACCATGAGAGAAAAGAGAAGAGAAAAACAGTGGGCAGATTTAGTTGCAGCCCCGCCTTTAAATAAACTTATATATATAAGGTCTGACACCATCTCATATCTCAAGACAGTGAATCATGCACATTGTCCTTAGATGTAAGGCAATGGTTTTACAAGTCTTCTTGTGTATGGTAGGCATTACTTGTTATGAGTAATGTGACAGAGCCTTCTACAATTAAAAAGAAATAACCCTCCTGATGTCATAGCCATGTCTTTAGGGCTATCTCAACAGAAGCTTGAGACTTTAATGAAAAATAAAAAAAAGAATGTGTGTTTAAAACTTGAGTTTTGGGATCTGAGAGAGGTAGGCACTTAGGAAGCAAAGGCTCTGACATATCTTACCTGCCCTTGTGGTTCCACTTATACTACAGTTGAGGGAATTGAGTGGGAACCGTGTGAATGGAAATCGAAATGATGCA